TGGATCCAAATTCCACGTTAAGACATTTACTTGAGACAACTAGTGTACAATGTGTAACAGATATTACGCAGAAGGCATGGCCTAATGGGTAAAATGCTTTCATGTGCATAAGGATGAAGAGCAGGATTCAGGTAAGAAATTCATGAGGTATGAGCTAAGGATGTTCGAATTCTACCTGAGACCAGAAGGTGGGTGTGTAGTCACGATTGGTTGGTATCGGAAACCAAAAGATACAGTGACGATGTGGCCGTATTTATATATGCTCCACGGGATAAGGATTACCTATAATGTACATGAGTATATGAAAATAGGAAGCTGAGCATACTAGAAGCGGGCTAAGATTAAATGGATATGAAAGGAAGACTAAGTGCTGAAGTTAAGACAATCAAAAGAGAGCGATAATGGACCGGGTTTCAGTGGCCAAAAGTGCCTGTTGGGTTACTCATTCTAGTTACTAAGGAATAACTAGTGTCAAAAGATAGGACAGCAAACCAGCTGAGCTGTGAAAAAGTTGTGCCAAGAGAATAAACATTCTATGGAGGGACTAACCCTTAGCGAGCTACAGGTATTTACAGTTGAATAGAGCTTAGAGTGACCAGCTGCTGCTGCGCAGAGATAATGGCTATAGGAAAGGATGTATCAGTGGCTGGCGTAGCCACATCATTAAGATTTTTGACCACATGCTGGATCCCTACAGTTTCAATAGGTAAATGAACGAGCCAGCGATTAGAGAAAAACCGTCCAGAAAAAAGCAGGAGCAAAGAAGTGACTCCATACTTTCCTGGGGCCAACAATGACTAGCTGCTGTCAAGGAGAGTTGACGCGCGTAAGACGAACGACGGATAACGGCGCGATAGGAGAGATGAGTGGCCAGCAATAACATTCGGATTAAGCCCACCGGTATTAGTGGATCCGACGGTGGAACAGATTAGGTCAAGAAACCAGCCGAGCTGTGACGCACACAATCCAAGAGATTAAACATTGGAAGAAAGGAGAGACACCTAGCGAGCTCCGGATATCCGCAAAGTTGTATTGAGGCTATGGCGACTAGCTGCTACTAAGCAGAGATAGTGGCTCTAGAAACGGATATATCGGTGGCTGGTGTAGCCATATCATTACGACGTTTGACCACTACTGGATACCTACAGTTTCGATGAAGAAATCAACATGTGACCAAAGCTTAGAGAGACAGACCTCAGAAGAAAATGAAGGCTGGAGAGTCAGGGAGTGGCTCCTTGTAAGCCACATGGAGCCAACAGTGACTGGCAGATGTTAAGAAGTGTTGACGTGAGTAGGCCGAACGACGCATAACGGCGCGCTAGGAGAGAGATGAGTTGCCTGCAATAGAGTTGGGATTAAGCCTTCACTTACCATTGGCTCCTACGAAAGCACAGAATAGGTCAACAAACCAGCTGAGCTGTAACGCACACAATCCAAAAGAATACACTTTGTAAGCAAGGAGCGGCTCCTAGCGAGCTCCGGATATCCGCAAAAGTTGAATTCAGCCTATGGCGACTAGCTGCCACTAAGCAGAGATAGTGGCACAGGAAAGGATGTATCCGTGGCTGGTGTGGCCACGTCTTTAAGACGTTTGACCAGTACTGGACGCCTAGCGTTTCAGTGAATAAATCAACAGACGAGGAAGACAACGGCGCAATAAAATAAAATAAAATAAATAAATAAATTTTGTATTCTCGACTAAGCGAGGCACGCCTGCGCAGGCATGATCATGTTATGAGTACAAAATGTGATCAGTTAATGTACAATGGGATTGTTGCATATGTTTAAATATGAATGTATGTAAGTTTGCATGTAGGCGTTTTTAGCTTCGTTTATGGGATTGGTAAATTTTTCCTGTTGTTTTGCTTGAATGTGTTTGAAGGTGTCGCCAGTGCTAAATGGAGGCTTCCTATCTGTGGACTTGAGGCGATGGTCCGGATAAGCGATGGGTGACTTTAGTTAGTGGCGAGTCACAACCGCCAAGTCACAGTGTTGTTAAACGGACTTTTGTGGCTTTTTATAGGGAGAACGCTTGCCAGGCGAAAACCCACCACGTCCTGGAACACTGCCGCCGAACTATTTGCTGGAAGGGGGTAAACCCCAACCACCCAGCTGGCACCACGAGGAGGTTGTTCGGCCAGCCAGCATCGATCATGGTAGCTTAGACTTGAGTGCCCCAGGAGACGTTCTGTGAAGGTATGCTGAACCTTTTCGAGGGTTATTCTGTCGCATATTCTAAAGTTGATGAATACTATAGAGTAGTACACTAGCAGAGGCCAAACATGTTTTGTAGTGCGCAGTTTTAGATTCCTAAATTGTCATGGTTTTGAGGATGTATCCGATGACAGGGCGTGCTTTAGCTACGGAATAAACCACTTGTTCCGCGAAGTTCAGCTAACAGGGGTAGTGCACGCCTAAGTCTCGAAGTGTTAGGCAGTTCCCTAATGGGGTGCCTTGTAGCGTTAAGCTATTGGATGGCATGGTGCATCTCTATGTAAGACATTGCATTTTGCTGATGTGAATGCCAACTTCCGTGTGTCGCACCATGCAGCTAGGACTCTTAATCGTATTGTATATGAGAGATGGCGGTGCGGAAGTTTGATGTATGAAATGAGAAGACAATTTTGATGTCGTCGTCAAAGAGGTAGTGTGGCCCATGTTTAAAAGTGGGAACACGTCAGTGATATGGAGCAGGAAACCTAGAGGGCCTAAAACGCTTCTTTTAATTACGAGACTTTTGACTGGGTTTGGAAGTGACATGAAGTCGCCAACCATTACTGACTGTGGGCGAGCTGTAGGATATAATGAGAACCACGTGTGGATTCTGTTCGCGTCGCAGCACTATAGATATGGTGTTTGCCCCTCGTCAGTAGCAGGCGAAGTGCAGAGAAGGGCGCCAACCATCGTATTCGGTTTTCGTTGATTTCACTAAATCATTCGACACGGTGAATAGCGAGGCCTTGTGGCTGGTGTTGGGTAAACTTGGTAGATCGCGAAATTTTGTGAGTCTAATTGAATATCTGCAAAATGGTATGCAGGCGAGGGTGCAGCTGAGTTGAGAGTCCTCGAATGACTTTGCAGTTGTCACTGGTGTGAAGCAAGGATGTGCCTTAGCTCATGCCCTGTTTACTATATATCTTCATGCAACGTTGTCCTGTGCTTTTAATGCCGCTTGTGCTTACAGTGTTCGTGTGGAGCACCGTATGGATGGTGGGTTGCTGAACATCCGCCGTTTCGGTGCGAGAAATATAGTCTGTGAGACAACTATACGCAAGTTGCTGTTTGCTGACGTCTGTGCGTTGTTTTCACACAGCGCTGATGACTTGCAGCATATGACTAGTGCTCTGGCTTCGACGGCGACCAAACTTGGGCTCATCATCAACGCAAACAAAACTGTCTGTCACTTTCAGCATTCACCGGGGGTGTAGTCGTCAATACTGCCGCGAATCAGTATTGGTGCGGAAGTATTGGAAACCACCTCGCGCTTCTGCTACTATGGGAGTGTGATGTCGTTTGCTCAGCAGATACACAGTGAGCTTCGTAATTGCGTGTCGAAGGCAGCGGCGGCATTCGGGAAGCTAGAGTACCGAGTGTGGAACAACCATCAACTTACCATTAGCACGAAGCTGACGGTGTACAAATTCATGGTGCTGTCCGTTCTTCTATACGACAGTGTATCGTGGACGATGTACCGGCAGGATGGGCGATATCTCGAGCCGTACCATCAGCAGTGTTTGCAACGGACTTTGCGCATCATTTGGGGTGACAGCATTGCTGATGCGGAAGTGTTGCTACTAATTGGAGTGGATGCAGTG